CCTAGAAACACACTTCTTAAGCACAATGTACACGTAGGCGTGTACAGTCTATCGAAATGGGACAAACTATGGAAATTAACCGGAGGCATAAAAATGACGCAGTGCATTCTCTAAAGTAGTGCACACGTCATGTGAATAGCAACTGCAACGGTAATTCAAGTCCTAAAGTAGATCTGTGTTACGTATCTACTAGCGCGGGGCAAAAACTTGCGAACAACAAGCGTAATCGCGGTGTAACTAGTTTTTAGAGTTACCTGAATTGAAAAGCTTACACTCAGTTTTTATTGTCAGTCGCCGTTCTATGCTTGCATGCTAATTGTCAACCAGTTGACAAACGCGACTTCATCCTCGCATCTTACATCATTGATGCACGTTCGAAATTCATGAAACGTAGCAGGGGCAGTGGAACGAATCGAATAGAAGAATTATCGTAATTCCTGATTGTACAGAGAGAGATTTTCGTTTCAATCAAATTCAGGTCGGATGAATCCCGTAAGAATTTTTTTTTTTTTTCTCTAGATGAACCTGTTGTCTCTGCCAATTACAAAAGGAAGAAGGAAAATAACACTATCTTTCGAAATGGGAAAGATTTTTATATTAAAATTGCTGCGAACTACGATGCTCGACGCATGCTCTGTCGAAGAATTTTCACTCTTTTATAATTTTCCTTTTTATATAAATTCGATTGAAAATTAGCTTGTTTCTTTGTTGTTTCCTTTCTTTCTGTCTTTTCTTCGTGTGGAAGCGAGGCGAGTAATTCAAAGAGAATAGAACGGCGAAGCTTTGAAAAAGAGAAAGGAAACACGCCCCACAGGATAAAGCACGCACTGCGTAGAAACTACCCCTCTACTTCAGTCAACGACGTGCTGGTTCCACGAACGAAAACTGGGTCACCAGCTACGATACTCGAGCTAACTCGTGCCGTGAACTCACTTTCTGTACATGGCATTATATGTACGTGTCTATGTAACGCGGGGGGAGGGGCTATGTGTTGGTAATAATTTTTCTTTCATTTCTAGGGAAACGTATGCTGTGAGTCATCGATAGAATCATCGATAAAAATCTCTCGATCGATGACTGACGAGGCAAACGGCACTCAAAGGGAACGACAAGAACGGAGCAAAGGAAATGATAGTCGAATATCTATTTAATAGCATAACGTTTTCTTGCTTGCGATATTTAATATCTTATGTTCGTTATGATTTACGTGTTTCACGTGTTCCGACGAGAGAAAGAAAAGGCTTTCACCTAGGATTTACAATGAGGAATGAAAATTACCCTCGGTCGTCGATCGTTCTAGTTTAAATTCAAATTCAAATTGATCCTGGTACGAAAAATTTCTCTTTATCTCTCGACGAACCATTTCAATTTCTTGTAATAAGTGTACGGTGTCTTTACTAAAGGAAGAGTCAGGATTTGACCTACTAACACGTTCGCGCTTGTAACTAGATCCCTTTTCACTTTCTTCGTAAAAGCACACAGCAACGTCACGACACGTACTTGATTTGTACTTTAATTTTTTTGTTTCGTATGTTATATCTCGTGCAAACACGCCACGACTGATACAACGTGTTCCAATCTCCTATCGATCAATGGTATTCCTCTCGAAGGTTGACAACAATCACGCACAGTGATCATAGAAAGTTTAGAGACCAATGTAATTCCGCAAGAGTACAGAAATACGTACGTGCGTGAATGTGATTTATACCGATGACAACATCAAATAAACATAAGCGTGAAGTAATGGAACAAGTCATAGTATACACGTTTATTAATATTTCTCACGCACGTACGTAATCTCGATCGTTCGAAGGTGAAGGTAATTGGCGATGAAAATTCAGACGATATAACGAACGAATGCGAAAGCTGGTAAAGTAGATAAAGCGCATGGATAAGAAATTAGAAAATAATTGCACGAAATGTCTCTCGCTCGCGCGCGCTCGCTCCCTCCCTCTCTCTCTCTCTCTCTCTCTC